CCCCCCCCCCCCCATACACACATCCACATCTGGAAAATGTTTTCATCCACAGGGCTGCTGGAAGGCTTTGGGAACAGGGCTCTAGGGGGTGGGTGTGACCGGAGGCTCTGAGCCTCCCACCCAGCCCAGCCTACCCTGCAGGCCTGCACCCCACTCCTCCATTCTTCAGTCCTTCAGTCTTCCAGCTAACTCTTCCCACTGTCCCATCTGTGCCCTACCCAGTCCCCAGGGAAGAGGACCACCCTGGCAGAAATTAGGGCAAAGTACTAGGAGAGTCTGAAAGAGGGGCATGTGAATCTGAGCATGTACAGGCCCATTCAACTGGAGTGGTAGAACAGCAGGAGAGGTTGTTCCCAGCTGAGGGAGCCTCTAGCAGCAGCCCAGGTGCAGGAGAGGGCAGATGTGTGGCCAGGAGGGGCTCCCACCTCCAGTCCAGGACTGTGACAGAAGAGGATTTTCTCCTCTTAGATGCTGCCCATCCACACTCCAGAGATGAGAAGGGGGCTGTCTGGAGACTTTGGTTCCAGGAGTTGAGGATCCTGAGGGGTTTGGCTGGGCGGTGGAGGTGGCAGGCACGCAAGAGGGCAGGCAGTAGGATGTAGTGGGAAGGTGGTGCTGGTCACCCTTGGGAAGGCCCAGAGTATCCTATGCCTTCCTGACAGGAGCACTTCAGTCCAGCACCCATTCTATCCCCAAAACTCAACAACAGCCTCTCCTAGGAAGCCCTCCATGAATTACAGTACCTTGGGGAACTTTCTCTATTTGGGACTTTTATTAGGGTTAGGGTTAGAAGCCTGATCTTTCTCCAAAACCACAGCTCCCAGGACAAGACCACATCCCCTTGTCTCTCCCACCTCAGTCTCCACATCAAGCCTGCATCTCCCCTCTCAGACTGGGGTTCCCAGGGGAAGGTGATCACCCCTCTAGTTTCCCCCAAAAGAAGAACTTGCCAAGAGCCTGTGTCTCAGGACTTTCCTCATGACCTGCCAGAGAAGGCCTGAGCCAGCTACAGCACAATGCATCTAGGTTAGAGCAGAGGAAGCCCCCAGACCAGACCAGGCAAAGAGGCTGAAACTCTCCCTGGCTCTGAGGTGCTTTGGGGATGGAGAGGGGATGAAAAAGCCAGCTTAGGGAAGTAGGCTACAAGGGGACTCTTCCCTGGGGCTCAGGGACCAGAAAGACAGCATGCTGCTCTGTTCTCCACCCCCCCTCTCCCCACACAAAGAACCCCAGCTGGCCCAGACAGATCCTTCAGACTTGCCCTGTCTCTCCCACCCCACCCCCCACCCCGTTCTCAGCAGCCCCCTCAGTCTCCCTCCCCACTGTGTCTCTCCCACTTCCACCCTGGTCAGGTGTTCCAAGACCTGCCTTCCCACTTCCAGAGGGTCCATCCCCTCCAGCTGGCTGAGGAGCATCGCAGGGCACCCACCGACATGCACACAAACAGGGCTCACAGTGCTACCTCGATAGGAGAGCCGCAGGCGAGGCACGTTAGGACTGGGGCCCAGGCTGGAGCTGCCCCCATGGAGCAGGAGGTCCCCCAGGACACAGCAGAAGGCCCAGGCCGAGAGGGCCATGCTTGGGAAGTGAGGGCACTGCCGCTGCAGGGGAGCTGCCCTCTGGTCCCGCTGCCTGTAGTTTGCTCTTCTGCCACCAGGCCAGCCACTTATAAGGCAGTGGCTCCACCCAGTCCTGGGCGGGAAGCAGGAGGCGGAGGAGGAGGAAAGGGGTGAGGGGCCATCCACCTGATGCTTCTCTCTGCACCTTGGCTGGCCCGGTGGATGCCATCATGCCAGATTGGCCCGTCCCCATTGGGGAGACTTTCTCAGCTGGGGTATGGATGGTTTGCACAGAGAGATGTCCACAATGCAGGTCCCCAGACTCCAGCAAAGTGACAAGGGGAGAGACAGCCTGAAATGGGGATCAGGGATCAGAAGTCAGTCAGAGGTTGAAGGGTCTGGTGGAGCTTGGGCTTGGCTCTGCTTTGCTCTCTGTCCCACCAGTGCCTATGCCAGAGAACCCCCCAAACTGGTCTTGGGCCCAGATCCCTGATACTAGGATAGTCCAACCCCTGAAACCTCAGCCAGGCTCCCCGACTCCTCTGCTAGGGTACAAGCTGCCTGGGGGTGTGGGAGTCACTCCCAGCCCAAGGAGCTCTATGTCCTGGGCAGGATCTGGCCACACTTCACAGATCTGGGATTGGCAAGAGATGAAGGCCCAGCCTCTTCCACCCGGGTCTGTCCCCATCTGGCCTCCAGGCCCCACAGCCGCTCCCCACATCTACCAGGCCCAATCTCAGCTCGTTGGGCTTGCTTTGGAGGTAGGGAAAGGATCAACCCCATTCCAAGGGGGAACCCCCATTGTCCTGCCTGCCTCAGGCTTCCAGTCCTTCCAGAGACCCAGGGCCCAGAGTTCCACTGGGTCCGTGGTGAGTTCTTTCCAGGGACCCCCTGCCCCATAGGCCCTACACATACACCAATGATCCCTCTAGAGTTCACTCTCTGCCCTGAACTCTGACTGGGGTTGGGGGAGCAGAAGGTCATAGAAGACAACCAAAGGGGGTATGAGACTGAGGGTCTGGGTCTGGGGCAAGTGAGGGGAGCTTCTCCTGCTTCCTATCCCAGAGAAGCTCCCACCTCATCCCACCCAAGACCTCTACCTTCAGAATCCAAGCCCTGTGCACTAGAAACATTTCAGCCTTGAGCCTGAGTTAGAGTTCCCATGATTCTTGCAATGCCTGCAGGGTAGGCCTCCCAGGGGGATTGGCCTGGGCCCTCAGATGGTGATCAGGAAGCTTGAGGGGTACTCAGATAGGGAAGGACCTGGCCCAGGCCTCCAGCAGGCTGAGAGTAGGCCCAGCTCAGCCCTGCCCTTTTCTGGGACACTCCTTTGCTTTTGGGCCTTCCGTGTGTGGGGGCGGGTGGGTATGGGAACTCCACCTCCCCTTCTTCCTGCCTCAATCCTGGAAGGGAACCAGGTTGACCCCTTGGGTTAGCATGAGTAGGACCTATAACTATCTCCCTCCATCTCCCTCCATCACATGCATTCCTCCTTCCTGAGGGATCCTGACCTGGAGTGGGTGAGAGGCTGCTCAGAGAGGCTATTGACGGAGCTCAGCCCACCCCTGCCTCAAGCTCTGCCAGGCAACCTTAGCCAAGGCCCTTCTCTCTCTGGGTCTGTCTCCTCTTCCAGGGCCAACGACCAGTCACCTTGGGTGTAACCAGGATTTATAAACTGATGAATGGTGTTATACAGGGCCTGATGTGATGATGATTATATTCTGGGACCTCTGTGGGGTGGAGTCCCCTTGCCTCCATTTCCCTAGGGAGGTGGTTTGGCACAAAGACAAGGCTGGGGGCCGATGTCTATCTGGAGATTGAGCTGGACAGCCCTTCAGCCAGCATGTGGCCACCAGCTGTGGGCAGGAGACCCAACCACTCCTCAGCCTGTCACCCACTCTGGAGGGCTCAGCTTAGTCAGACCCCCAGTTGGGGCTGCAGGGAGGCCTGGGGCAGAGTGGAGAGGAGGGGCGGCACACTGCACATTGCAGAAAGAGCCTATGGCAGGGGCTGGGTGTCTGAACTCTGTTAATCTGTGTGGCCTGTCCTCTCTGGGTCTCAGTTTCTCAGCCTAGGAGGTGAGGGTAAGAATCTTCTCCAAAGGTCCCTGCTTGTCCGCTACAGGTGGGAAAGACCCCCAAGGGTGTCTGGAATTCAGGGATCAATGGGCTCAGGCATGGGCATCATATGCCATCTAATGGAAATAAAAGGAACTGCAGGAAGCCCCAAACTTGCCTGCTGTGTCAGGTCCTTGCTGGGCTGGGGGCAGAAACCGCAGTTTTTTAAGGTGCAGGCAGTAACCAGGTAACCACAATACAAAGAGGCAAGGGCAGTGGGAGACACTCCAGCAATTGCTTCTGATGGATGAAATCAAGGGAGGCTTCATGGAGGAAGCACTATCCAGGCAAAGGACGGCAAGGCCCAGAACTGGGAAGGACTGAACCCAGCAAAACAGGCAGAACTAGGACATGCATGTAGGGAGCAAAACACCATTGTGTTTTGTGGCAGGAGATTGTGAGCCCTGGGCCAATACTGGTGTGATGCATGTTCAAGTGGCAGGTGCCACCAGGGTCACAGCCCAGCCCCTCCCTGCTAGAATGTTGGGGCGGGCATGCCTGGAGGGATCAGATGCCCCCATCCTTTCCCCACCAACTTCACTGATGGAACAGAGATGAGGACAATCCCATGCCCTCCCCGTGGGTCCCCACTGCTTGTGGAGGTTGCGCCGCCCTGTCGACTGTCCCTCACAGCTCCTACCCCTATGCTCCCACAGTGCCTTCAGAGCCTCCACCTGCAAGCAGGGCTACCCACCTCCTCTGCCCCTCCCCCCATAGCTGGTGAAGGGAAAGCCAAGAGGTGGGCAGGGCCCCACTTCCCTTACTGCCCCTTCTTGACAGTCCTCACTCTCCCCAACCCAGGGACACGTGGCTCCTCACACGTGGTGAGGCAGCACCCCCCTTCCCCCATGCACCCTCTCTGTAGCTGGTCCATCCACTCTTGCTTCCTTCACAGAGGGTTTAGCTCTCTTCCTCTCCCCCATTCCCAACAGCAGCCCACATCCCCTGGTCTCTTAGGTCCTTGTTCTCCTCACTGTCACTCACCCCTCCCAGGTGGCCACCAATAAGGATTTGACCTTCTGCATGTGGGGTTGGTGTGTCCCTTCCTCTGGACACCATCATTTGCACCTCAGCACCCTCACAGCCACATCCTCCATTTGCAGAGACCCATCTGCCTGCCCCCTTTGCTTTGATTCCTCCCTTCTCCTTGCCCATCTTGGATCTGTGGACAGCTCTGGAAGCGGCCCTTGCAAACAGTGCCAGGGCCCCATAGCTGCTGGCCTGCTGCAGTGCTGTCCACATCTGGTGTCGCCCTTTCCTGCTACTGGGTCGTCCCTGTAGCACACAAGTCTCATTCCCTTGCCCCCTCCTGCGACAAGCTTCCCTAGACTACACATCGCCCCTCCACTTGGAGCCATTTCTCTGTTCCCAGGGTGCTGCCCTCACTCACCATCTCCCCTGCACCTCTGTCCACTCCTTCCACCCTCTCCAGTGGGCTCCTACCTGTGATCATTCTGTCACAAAAACTCTTCATCTTTCCTGTGATCATCCCATCAAAAATGCATCATCTGAATCTAGTCTTGAGGAAACACCAAACAAACCCAAGTGAGTGAGATTCCACAAATAACTGACCTGTGCCCTTCAACGTGTCAAGGTCTTGAAAGACAAGGAAACACTGAGGAACTGTCACAGGTTGGTGGAGAATAAGGTGACAGATGACTAGGTCACAATAGTGTGATTCTGGATGGGCTCTTGTTCCAGGAAAAGGCGTTTCAAAGGGCAACTGACAAACTTCAGTGATGAACCAGCAGTATTGTATCAATGTGTTTTTTAATTTTTTATATTTTATTTTAGAGTTGTGGGGCACATGTGAGGATTTGCTACATAAGTAAATTGCATGCAGGATGTGTCAATGTTAATTTCCTGGGTTTGATCAATGTCCTGTAGTTATTTAAATGTTAATATTTGGGGAAGCTGGTGACAAGTAACGGACGTTCTTTGTACCATTTTTGTAACATTTTTGCAAGCGTGGAATTTCAAAAGAAAAAAAAAAGTAAAATTAAAGCAACCTTCACTTCCCAATACCCCACTGTGGAACTTGCATCTCCACCAGGCTTCCATACCTTGTATTTCAGGAAATGGCAGGTCTGCCAAAAATCGAAGAGTCATCTTGACTCCCTGCTTTCTCACTCCTCACATTCAAGCCTTCACCAAATCCTGGCCATTCTGCTTCTAAATATGCCCTGAATCCATGCACCCTCCTCTTCCTCTCCCTGGCATCCCACTGTGCTGAGAGCCACATCTTCCCTCCACCCCCCACCCCAGGTCTCTCTTCAGGGACCAGGGAGCTCCTGCCAACTCTGGCCTTCACCAGAGGCATCTCTAGAATTCCAAGACCATCTCCGGAATGCAAGGCCTGTCTGGAGAATGCCAAGGCTGGGGCACAGGTGCAGAGGCCAGGGGATGGCTGGGCGGGGCAAGGACAGCTGCTAGCATTCTGGCTGCAGCCCAGGCGCTGCTGCCAGCTGTCCCTCCTGCAAGAGCCACTGCTGACACCTCCACTTCCTTGGAACTGCTAACCCCTTTTCAAGGCAGCATCACTGTCTGGCTGCAGCCCTGGACCAGGCACCCTCACTAAGCTGAGAGCCGCCAGGCCTCAGGCCTCTATTCTGTATCAGGGAGAGAGACTGGGTCACGGGAGGTGAGCCTCTGAAGTTCACAGGACCTAACCCACCCGACAGAGCCCTTGGCTGGAAGCCAGGGGGCTCGGCTCTCTCCTAGAGTCACCAGATGGCCTTGGCAGGTCCCTGCAGCTCTATGGGCCACAGGGTCCTCACCTGTGATATAAGCAAGGGGATCTAGAGCAGACTCAATGCCCTCCAGTCCCAGGGAGTCAATATGAGTGGGCAGGTGGACTGGCACCAGGGCCTGCGGGCCCCCATGGGGCTCAGCTCCACTCCA